CCCTCCCCGTGTGTGTGTGTGTGTGTGTGTGTGTGTGTGTGTGTGTGTGTGTGTGTGTGTGTGAGAGAGAGAGAGACACAGCCAGCCGCCCCTCAGCAAGATGCAATGGTTATGTTGCAGGTGGTCTGGTTTCTGCTAATCTCTGTAACTGTCTTCTTGCACAAACAAAATAATACACACCAGTTCAATATATATCTCTCCAAGGCGCCTGTGTGTGTGTGTGTGTGTGTGTGTGTTTCCTGATTGATTATTTTAGGTTTGACACGGAAACACATGGCGCTCCATGCATGTTAACGTCAGAAAAGAGACAACAGAAGCGGCTGTCTCTCCCCTCCCTCCCCAGTTTGACAGCAGGTCATAAAAACACACATTCATCGTGGAGCCACACTTACAGAAGTGGCACGTAGCCCAGCACTCGGGTCGCGGGCGTTACTAAGAGGAAATGGCTTCTTTTGATTTTAGAGCTGCAATTAATCACAGTGGGACACACTCATACAGGCACACATGATAAGGAAGAGGCAATGCTGGGGGTAGCGGTTCACAGGGGATTAAGAACACTGTTTCAATATCAAACTCAGTACGTTTTTGATTGGGGAAGAATGACCTGCTTCTCGCTGTCTGTTCTGTCTTGGGCAAAGACAACTATTTCGTACTTAAGGCGTAACCAACTTTTTACACACTGATTCGGTTCATTTGAGGAAAAGCAGTCTGGCATGAGTGTATTGTCCCAGCAGAAGTATCACAACTGTAAGTCAGCTGTGATGTGGGCCTGGGTGGAGAGGTTATGTTGATGGGTTATGCACTGCAGCCGCCTTCTGTCTCGCTCCCTGCCTCTCCGTTTTTATTACCCACTTAGATTTTAGCTTCCTTGCTAATGTGTGTGCAGTCTTTGCTTGGGAGCCTTTAGCAGGGGAGGAGGTGGGGATGCTGTTCGATTAATGTCTGTGGAACAAGTGATTTTGTTCATCTATTTGTGGCTTAAACTTTGCCCAGGTCATCAACCCTACTGTCCCACGTGGAGCAGGGATTTCTGGAAGCCATAGCGTCTCTCTATGGAGAGGAAAAAAAGGTCCGGTGGGGGAATTCACAACAAAATAAATAACTTATCTTTCTCCTTCCGTTTCTTTCCTTTGTCTCGTTGCAGGTTCATGAAACTAGCACCCATGTTTCTTGATCGGAACTTCAAACGTTTGGCAAAAGTCAGCAATTACCTGCCTCCATTTGGATTCAAAACACAAGGTAAGAACAGCTCATTCTATCCGTTGTCTTCCACGAGCGACATCTACTGTACATTTCCTGAACAATGTAGTCGAGGATGACGTACATAAAAACATAACTTCTAATCATATTTTTGATCTGATGTGCAGACATGTTGGTTAAAGCCAGCACTGTTCTTAGTGCGGCTGTATCTCCGAGGTTTAGATGCTGTGTGGGAGCTCGTAGGGCCTGCATGTTACAGTTGTTACTGCTTGCAGTGCTTTCTCAGAATACCAAGCTCAGATGTGTGTTTTCTAATATTGCCCAGATGATTTACAGTTTTGGTCTAATTTTCCAATTGACACGTCAAAAAAGGTGATGAGATAAAAAGTAAGGTCTGCCAAACTTCTTCCCTTCATCAGCTGGCTCCTCATACTGTTATCTACATCAGTGATGTAACTTGTGAGACTCCTCAACAAACAGTTGACACTGAATTGTCATTTTGTTGCTCCATTGTGAGTTGCTGAAATGGATCAAAGATGTGGACTCATAGGTATGAAACCAAGCTAGTTATTTTGTCCAAATACCTGCTCTCTTTAAACTCTCATCAGTTTGCCTCTGATGGTTGAGCACTGGATAATGCCAATGTCCTGCCACTTTGCACTCTCCATCATTTGGTGGTGGCTGGTGTTTTTGGCAGAATATGGGCAGGTTTATTACTCTGCCTTGTCCTGAGTTGAGAGAAAGTGAGATGGGTAATCCATCACAGCTTACATTTAGTCACCGTTAGCCTTTGCCATGATTTGCCAAAGTTTTGGATTACTTTTGAAAACCCCTGCTGTCCAACATTAGAAATTCCGGAAGCAATGTCTAAATAAAAGCCTTTTTAATGCAAGAAATTAAACTTTGCATCATCCATGCTTTGCTGCTGTTCGTCTTTTGGGTAAGAATGGGTTTCATTAGCTGGTTCCATTTTGGATCCGGATCCTGGTTGGCATAATACTTGATAGATTTGTTCAGCAAATTTCTTATCAAACCTTTTATAGCAAAGACCAATGGAAAACGTATAGGCAGCTGGTACATTCATTTGTTAATGGTTCAAATGATGGTTTACATAGTTCTCTAGTTAATGTGCTTTCTGCAACTGATCGGCTCACCTGGTTTTCAGCCTCAAGCTCAGAGTTCTAACCTTCTGAGTTCATAACCCTCTTTTTGTACCATGCCCATAGGTCAGAATGTATGCATATATTGTAGTCATTGTATTTACAGTGTAGGCACTGCAGGCTTCTGTGTTTGTCATAATAATAACTTCATCAGTGATATTCATTTGTTGTGATATGAATTCTATCTTGGGACCAGGGAACTCGTATGTCTCCCAACACTCCAACTTTAATGTTTCCACTCACAGTGCTTGTACTTGTTCCCTGACCTTAACACACTCCAGCACTTCAGATATCAAACTAGAACACAATGCCATGGGAAATGAAGAGATAACATTAAGCTGGCTTCAATGACATGCTCTGCCACATATTTTCCAATACTTAAAAGTAGAAGGTACAGTGAATGTTACCTTTGTCCTCTGGCAGGTTCTCCGCTGTCATACGAACACACACACACACACACACACACACACACACACACACACACACACAGTCTCAGTTGCCATCAAAAGAGCACTCCCTGTGTGAGTGTTACACCTGGTTTCTGTTTTCTCAATGGACTGCAATGGCAGTCGGGTTTCCTTTTTAGTGGTACTCATGTGGAGAGATGATACGTGTGGATCTTGAATAGAACGCCACAAAGGATTCCAAATTGGGAACATGGAGTGGTGGTGGAGGTATCTTCGGCACACATCAACCACAGTCGAGAACAGTAAAGCTGTGTTGATTCGGTCTGAGAGGAAAAACAAACTAGTGTTGAGTAAAAGCCTATGTTTTGCATCAACTGTATATAAATTGAAATATATCAAAATGTGCATCACAGATATTGACATTAATTTAGTGCAGTGCAGATTGCACTGATGTTTAATTCACTTTGATTGTGAATATTGTTGCATCAACATAACCAGACTTATGATGTTTACACAAGCTCTGCCTCAGTCATGTGATCACACTGTTGATGTGGTTCACTGCTCTATCTTCTCTGTAACGTGAGACAAGAGCAGGTGCACAAGAGTATGAATACATAAAAAATAATGTCAACGAAGAGTCTTGCAAAAACACGGTAAAGCTTTTGACGATAGTGTGTTGAACCTCTTGAAGTGTGATTTGTAGGACTATTTGCAAGTGAAGTTGTGCCCTTGTCAGCTGATTCAGAAGAGACATTTGGTTTTCTGTGCAGATATTTGTTTTCATCTCACTTGCTCACCACCTGAAGACACACACACACACACACACACCCCGTTATGCAACTTGAAATATGGTTAGGACGAACATGATTCAGCCAAAAGGACATAGCACACTGGTGCCAAAAGATTTTCAGTCTTCAACAATGAAATAAAGATGATCTGTGTTTCAGGATTGTTCAGTTATCAACATCCTTGATAAATTAGTCATTGTACTTTGATCAATCGGATAACAACTTTTAACCTTTTTTTCTATGGATACACTCATCATATGATTCATTATTATTGTTTAGACTACACGCTTCCCAACAATGGGTCTGTGATTATGTGTTAGGCGATGCTTCCGACCTACCTCAAGTGTTACCAGTAAAGATTTTTGTCATTTCAAGAGTTCCACGTTGGACCAATGTCTGAACCTACAGCCATTCGTCTTTAGCTCTACCACGAGACATACTTAGCTGAAATGTTTACCCCGGGTACTTATAATAATCAGCTTCCATGTCGTCCTCTGGAAGAGAGTCCTGCCCATTGTGATTTTTCACTTCTCACCCGCTTGGATCCAGGTGTGGTCCTCGGCCTCGTGTTTATGCTGCTCGGGGTGATGCTTGACGCCAGACATCGACACCACATCCAAACAATGGGCTGTTGCTCTGCTCTCCTCTCCTCGACAGGTTAATCATTAGGGTCGTTAGCCAGGGCGAATGGGGCTGTAACATGTCTCACAAACTGCTTTGAGGCCCCGGTCTAAACCCTCTTGCTCTCACTCTCCCTTTACTCTCGCTGTTTCTCTTGGCCCCTTTTTTAAGAGTATGTGCTATATGGCCATTCGATTAAGTGAACTGGAGAGGGCAATGAAAATGCCTCTCATTCTTTAACAATGTGACGCAGCGGGGACTTTTTTCAGGTGGGATGCAAATAAAGCAAAGATGATTAACTGCCATTATTAAATCCAAGTAGTCCTTCTATGGTGCTTCCTGCATTACTACGAATGTAACGTGGATCATAGATAGTAACAGCTGTAATGGAATCGGCACATTTAGAATGTCATGGTTATGAATTATGTATGAGCGAAGTATGAGAGGCCTACAAATGGTCAGGGGAAGAGAGAAATGCAGGTAATATCTAATGCAGGGAGCATGACTCCAGCAGAATGCTCCTCAGAACATGGCAGGAATGTGCGCTATGGCTAAACATCCCCATTTCTCACCCTGCGATCGGAAGGGTGCTGGCCACGCAGGGAGACGAGCTCAACATCGCCCACTTAACCAGGAGAATGTGCTTGTTTGAAAACAGCATTCCTCTCTGAGTGCTTTTATGGGAGAGTTTCTACACACACACACACACACGCATACCATCCGGAACGCTGTATGTCTGTTTCTCCCAGATTCACTTCTCAAGAACACAGCAGCTTTTTTCTCTCCATAATCCCATCATTGCTATTCCTGAGGACCGATTGGTCACTCCTTATCTGCGACTGAATAAACGGAGAGAGGTGTTCTCTTCTCCCAACGGTCTTAAGACCACCTAGATTGCTGTATCTCTAGTGGTATGTCCAAGTCCTTGGCAGTTTGTTTGTCTTTTTAAAGGAGCAATTCCCTCAGTTTCACATTTTCGAATATTTCATTTCCATTTTTAGCTGACATCACCTCATCTGTGATTTTCAACTGCCCCAGTGACGGACCCTGACGATTGTTTTCTGACCGAGAATTGACACTAGTTGTATTTATCCAGTCTCCCATTCATTGCCAAGAAAGCAATTATCCACCCATGTATAAATAAATAAACTGCTGTGGGCAATAAAATAACCTACACAAGTATTTACAACTAGTACGGTCATGTAAGACGTGCTGTGTGCGTGACAAATTAATGTAATCTCAATTGTCCCCTCATGATGGTTATTTCTTTGTTTCGTCTCTGCAGAGAGAATCATAGACATCATTTTAACTGCCATGAAAAATTATGGACTTGGATTGGAACTGGACAGGTAATTGTTGCTACTCACCCACATCAACGGGTGTTCCTGTTTTGTCTATTCAATCACTTCCTAATGTCACTAACGGACCCTTCTGCCCTGTAGTCTCGGCTGTAAAAGATGCATCATTGTGGGCAATGGGGGAATCCTGTTCAACAAGTCTCTGGGCTCCCGTATAGACGACTACGATGTCGTTGTGAGGTAAGATGAATGACTGAGTAATTTGTAATTTATAACCTATACAATACACAAGGAAAAACAGTACCAACAGGAAGGAAACTATACCGTTTGTGATATTTAATACATCCATATTCAAAAAACAAAAAACACCTGATTTAAGTGCATAAACGGTAGAAGATGAATCGATAATAACTTCCCAGGTGCTTAACTTCTGTGCCACAAAATTCCACTCACTTTTTTTTTTTTTTTTTTTGCGCGGGCAGGTTGAATGAAGCTCCAGTAAGAGGTTATGGCAAAGACGTGGGGACCAAAACCACCATTAGGATCACCTATCCAGAGGGAGCTATCCAGAAGCCTGACAACTATGAAAAAGATTCACTATTCGTCTTTTCCGCTTTCAAACCACTGGATTTCAAGTGGCTCAGACAGATGGTCTTCAAGGAGAAACTGGTAAGAATGCTTTTTAAATCATCGAGGAATGAAAGTGACAATCTTTACCATATGTCTCTCTCTCTCACACACACACACACACACACACACACACACACACACACACACACACACACACACACACACACACACACAGGTAAAGGAATGGCACCTCACAGCCACTGAACGACCAAATGTTTTTCATGTGCGCTTCATCAGGCTCTCTTTCTAATTTAGGATTCTTTCACATTATGCTTGTATGTGTTTCACCTTCACACACTGCAGAGCATTTCTACTTCTCTGGGTGTCTGTCTGAGGTATGCGTTTTGTTTCAGCAGAACATAGCAGTCTAACCTGTGATCACATTCTGTACATTCCTTCGTGTGGAAATGTAAAATGGCTTAGGAGTTAGGAGAACAACATGAATCTTTTACTCTGTAACGGGCATGTTTTAGATGCTTTGAATGCTTAATGTGGAAAATTCAGTTGAGAAATACCCCTCACGCATTTTTTCTTTTTCCTTTGGCAATTACTTTCTCTTTCTTCATGATATTATTGAGAGTTCCCTTCTTAACGTGGGCTCTCACATGTTCTGATGTTCCTGAACTAGTAAATATAAAGTGGAAACGGCTTTTACTGATCACGTCCATCTGGGTCAAATTGATCACTATAAGTGGATGATTATTATATCTTGAGTCTTTCATTATTTCTCATGAAGATTGCCATCTAGTCAACGTTAGTATATCTATTACAAAGTAGCAAAGTAATACAATGGACAACCTCGCTATTTATAGGCTTGCTGCAAATGCTTCTGCCTTCTCCGTCACCAAGGGCTCGTTTGAGTTGAGGTTATGCTGTTTTCTGTTTAGCTGTGTGTCACTGCAGGGTGTGCGGTGCATGCAGAGATGCTTTGCCTTTGCGCATTTTGTTTTTCATTGATTTCAATGTGCATGCAGCACCAGCCTCAGGTAGCCAGCTGGAAGGCAGATGGGTTACTGTCTGTGAGGCAATTAAGTATCAAGGAAGTAAAGCAAAACAAATAACGCTCGCCTACCACCGTTTTTAAAATGTTTTTCCATATTTTGTCACGTATTTAAGCAAATTATTTAAACGGCATTTGCATAGGAATTAATAAGCTGTTTCCACTGTGATTAATTTACACTTGACAAATCTTTTGGGTGTCCTTCAGAACAGTATGATTGTCGCGGTGGATGTGAGTTGGCCTCTTAATCGCAAGGGTCAAACTGAACGACGGAGCTGACTTTCCCTTATCTGTCTAAGTACAGAAGGCAGGCAGTCCTATTTAATGACTCCTGTGTCCTTCTTTATCCACTGACACTAAAAACGCTCTCATCAGCACTTTTCACATTGTTCTCGTTGAACAGTCTCAAGTATCTCTTTGAGATTATTTTGAGTCCATTCAACTCCAGGACAGTAAAAGCTCTTCATAGTCATTCAAATAAAGGTTGTCATATTTTAATACAGATTTTCATATTTTAAAGAACCATACTTACACGTTTTAGCACATTTACTACAAATCTTTTTTTATATATATTTATTTATATTTATTTCCAAAGAATGCAGTTTTAAAGGTGGTAAATTCCAAATTCAGAGCATTATTATAGCAGCAAACAACTACTGTCTATGTAAAGATATGGTGGAGTAATGGTCTCCTGTGCAGCAAATGTCTCCCTTTCTGTGATGTAAGCAGAGCGTCTTTGCTTTGTTAATGTAGTCGGGACGGCCGTGTGCGCATGTTAGTGCATGTGAGTCACAGTGTGTGTGCCCCACTCGCTAGCTAATCGCTGCTGCCCTGCACTGCGCCCATAACGCTGATGCACACTGTTAGCACCCTTACCTGCTAGCCGCCGTCTCAGCCATCGCCATGTTGAGAGCTGTGTGGAGTCAACTGCGTAATTATAGATATGCTCTAAATTTGGAATTTAGTGGCCTTTTAATGATTTGTAAAAAATATATTTTTTTATTTCATACAGTACTTTGGCATTATTTTATCTAAATTATGAATACGTTCCTAGGGCGCTTAAGAATCACGAAATATGTTTTAAAATAACACAAAAGGTTTAAAACTGCAAATTTTGTTAATTGAAAGACGCTGTGTGTATGTTGGAGCAAATGGGCTAAACCAGGGGTTTCCAAACAGTTAAAAAAACACTTGTAAAATCCTTAAAGATTGTACACAGGCAGAATATCTAAACTCAGTTTTACCTCTTTCTTTGTGAGGAATGTCTCTGTCTAATATGGCAGCGGAGAATTGGGGAAACCTGCCTTATTATCCAGCACAGATGTGTGACTTTGAGGGAGCCCCTGCCAGCTGGGCTTTTTACAAGGTGACATTTGTCAAAATCAAGTGAGTAAGGGAAGGGGGGAGAAAACACAAAGTGGAAAGGACAATACCATTATAATAGGGGATGGAAAGGGCATACAATGTCAAGCTGAAACGAAGTGATAGTGTGAAGTTGGATTAAAGGTTGAGAAAATAGAGGAAAGCTAGATGGAAAGGATAAAGGGAAATAGGGTAAAGGGATAATAGCTGGGGAAAAGAAAATGAGCAGTGGAAGGTAATAGTAAAGGAAAATGGAGGAAAATAGCTTGCTTGGCTAGCTGATGGCCCCTTCAGCCTTTGATAGGGCCCAGACCTCTCTGGCATGTCAGAAGGAGAGGACAGTGGAAATGGCTGCTCGCGGATAATTGATCTGGCCCCTGGCGTCCGACTCGGCCCTCTTTGATCTGCTGAGGAGGGAAGAATGTTTCTCATAGGTTCAAAATCAGGGAACATGGAAGGTCAGAGCCTTGACGATGATATGGAAGAAGAGATGGTTATTCTCTTAATTATTTTTGTATACATCTGCAATAGTTAATTTACTAACATAGAAATATACCACTGTATGTACATTTTTCCTGTGCAATTGACTCCACTTACATGTTTGCATGACATTAAGGATCATCTGAATTACAGCTTACTAGATAAACTCAGTTAATCACGTCGCTGTCAGAAAAGTCATACACCATAAATACATATGCTGATATAAAAACAACACACAAACCATTTTTAGCCTCGCTAGTAAGAATCCGAGCTGCAAGACTGGCAGTTTTGGTCAGTTGCTCAGTCAGATGGTTTAAGAACGACTGCAAGTCCCCTTCTTTATGTTGTTATAGTTATATATGCATATTATGTAGCAGGTGTCAGGTTCATTTAAATGATCATTTAGATTAACTAATTAAAATATTATAGCACTTATGTGCTGATTTAAAAGCGTGTTATTCTACACATCATGCCCATTACTCATTCTAAAGGAGTGTCATGTAGATTTGAGCACAGAAGTAGCATAAAAACGGAGACAAATGCTGGAAAAAAAAAACATGTTATCGGGCCAACAACATCTGTTTACTATGGAAAGGGGATTTTCCGTCTTAGCAACAACATGAAAGGAACTGAAGTCCCGTTAAAAGGCTGTTATCCTAGCTCCATTGTATCAGACTCACACCATGCAGTGGAAACATAAACATGAAGACGTTTGTATGTACATGTGCCTTCTGGGAACTCGGAGACATTTTCCCCCCCAAAAAGTGACGTATAGAGAATTCATTTTTTACTATTTTTCCCCCTTTATTACCAGACAACAGGTATCTAAATCAATAAAAGGCAACTTGGTTTGTGAGAGTGATCCCACATACTTTGGGATATGCAACAGGGAATCCTCACCAAGTAGCAGCAAGCACGGCTCCCTTTGCTTCATTTCCATTTTAGTCCGTCCCAGAGGGAGACGTAATGTAACTTAGGTTAGCTGTCTGTCGGGAGCCTTTACGTGTCTTGGGATTTCTTTGTGCACACTCGCAGCTGCAAGGGATGCAAAACCTTTTCACTCTCCTTCTGTGGTTATGAAAGAAAGTGTATTTTGGGTGGTGCGATGTTGTTGTGCAGCCGCAAGTGACTCATCCGGCCAGTTGTGAGAGTGCTTGAGTCTCCTGTGCTATTGTGCCCTTTTTTTTTTTTTTTTTTTTTTTTTCTTCAAATGCCTACAGCGCAGTCTTGGATGGTTGAACAGAATACAAATTAGAGAGGCGATTTCCCAATCTGTTATTTATTTCGTGTTTTGTACACTCTCACAAACACAACCTCAAAAACTCCCACTCAAACACGCACAAGTCCAGATTTGCAAACCTAACCTTAGTCCTCATCAGATCTTAGACTTGCAGCTCTCCCGCTGACTGTGTCCTGCTACAACACATACAATTACTATACTGCAGCGTCACAGGGCTTCCAACTTCCCTAATCCCTCATCACCGCAGGTCTACGTGATTACGACTCGACTTTGTCACTCCGCTGTAAAGTCCGACCCCACATACGCAGCCGCCTGGTTGATTGCCCAGTTACATGCTGTTTACAAATGTGCTCAAACACAATTTACACAATTGTCGATATTCTTGTTTTTACCTATTTGTATAGTTCTCGATTTTGCCCGCGTGCACGGCACTCGCTCACGGTTCATGCACACGCGGCCGCAGTTGTTTGTATATGCGGGGATATTTTCAAACAGAGCCGGCGAAGGATATACAGCCGGCGGTAAACAGTGGTTCGAAGGTGGAGTGCCGGTGTTCTATCTTTCCTGTTTGTTTACAGGAGCTCTCCCTGCTCTCTACAGGCCAGAGAGATCAATGATGGATGGAAACAATTTGAGCGAGAGAGGGCTTCTCCTTTTAATAGAAATGCAGCTAGGGGTTCAGAAATATCACAATATTGTGGTGAAGCCAATATTTTAAAAACATTTCACATCTCTTAGGCAAAGGCAGAAATTCAGCAAGACGTGATCAAAAGCCCATTGCTTCACATCCCTGACAAATTCCCGAATGATCTCCTTCCTGCTTGCATATTGTTTTGAAGCGCTTCCTACCGTTGATCGCTGTGTTTTTCAGTTTACAGACATGCCATTTTAACTCATTGAAGACGCACCGGAGGATAGAAATAACAGCTATATGTCTCGATTTTAAGCCCAAACATCTGTGCAGAAGCCCAAAGTAGCATGCATACGTGCATTCATAAACATTTACATACTTGTAAACATGGATTTTGAACATGATCCAAGTGACTAACATAGGGTCCGGATGTCACTGATTACCATGAGTGTTGTGTTTCAAAAGTGAGTCACCTACCTACCCTATAATGACCAACACTCAGACCTGTACTCTGGGTTCCTGTTAGTGGTGTGTTCTTCTGATGCAATGGATGTTGGGTTAATTAAGCTTTAATGCAAGTTCAGGGAACTTTGACACGTCAGAAATAGGTCATCGGAGGGATTAATTCGTTTTTTGAGTCCGATACCAACAGGCCCTGCCAGTGAGACCATGTTGAACATGCAAGTCTTCAGAGTCACAGTGCTGTCAAGTGTTGGCCGTCATGGGAGTGTGGAGACGAGGGTTTCACACACTGGACAACCTATGAGAGGCCAGGAAAAGAGAAACCACCGTGACCTCAATGAGGGCAGAGGTCTTGGTATGTGTCGAGGAAAGCAAAGGCAAATTGGCGAATGCTTCAGATTCCTGGCTAACAAAAGACCATAAAATAACCAAAGCTTTACAGAATTTTACCTCTAGGACTTTAGAAACTGCAATCCCCCCCCGCTGTGCATCTTGGCATTTACCAGCTATTTTCAACATTCTTCCTGAAATGGTTCCTCTTCTGTGGAGCACTTATGTGGAACACTGCAACTTGTAAACTCAAAGGTCTAACATGTACACAGTGCTAACGACCTCCAGAACAGCCTTAATTGTGATCGTTAGCAGTTCGGGGCTGCCGTTTTTTGTTTCTAAATTGCTTCAAGTCTGACTTCCGGAATCCAGTCCACCTCCTCTGAGTCGTCCTCTCCCCGAACATCAAAGACGGACAGATAGAGCTGACTTGTACGATGGCTGCCTGTCGAGGAAGGACGGACATCTGTGTCATTCCAGCCGTATTATGAGATTATTCTGGAGAACACATGAGAATAGGTCAAAACTTTGAAATCCGGTGTAAAATGTATCTGGTGACAAGATTGTCTGGCTGTATTACATGTGGCCGACAGAGCGCCGTGTTTGTTTACACTGAAGGGCTTTAAAGCCACCTGTAGTAACCCAGCAGATGTGAAACGTTTTGTTCTTTCCTCTCGTGTTACAGTTCTGTTCAGTGCTCCACTTTTCACTCTGTCCCATCTGCTTCACTCAATGCATAGAAAACATTTTAGTTTGAAGGTGAGTTAAGTTTCATTGGCCACACTGAAAACCATAAACACAAGGCTGGATGATAAGTCCAGGCTCTAAACCAAGCTGTTTCTTATTTAGGCATTTTACAGTTGTGGAGTGTAACTGTTTTTTTTCAGTTGTCTGCAACTGTAAAGGATGCATGTCCTCATGTTATACCCAGCCTAATTTAAGTCCCCACCACCACTAGCCCATCGTTCCTTTCTTAAATTTTAAGTGGTTTTCATTTGCATTTTTTAGCTTGCTGTACTTTTTCCACTTTAGCATTCCTGTCATTGTTGTTCTTTACTATATACTCTCAGTCCACATCACTCTTTCCATCGGTTTGGTCCCTCGCTTGTCTTGGCTCACAGTGGGTCTTGTCCTCGCCCTCTGACATTGTCTTGCTCTGATCCTGTGCTTTAAGCTCCTTAGGTGATGGTTTGTGTAGCTGTGATTTTCCTACAGCTGTGAAATCGCAAGACAAATATACTTAGCCCTTGCAAAGCTTCTGTTGTAACTGACAACACTGACGGAGTGCTTTTATGGTATTGGTGTGCTCTCAGTGATGCATTAACCTCATTTCGCATCAAATCCACTTGGGAAGCAAAGCAATGAAATAGACATTTTCTATGTTACCCATACTCCCATCACATGTTTTCATTAGTTTGAGGTTTGAATGGTTCTCTAATTACATCATCTTGTTCTGTCCTCTTCTTGGTCTCTTGGCAATGGTTTAATGTCACCCGACTGGAGAATTAGCACCACCAGCTGTTCGTGACGCACCCCAACTCCTAATATTCACATAACAATGGCGGATGGAAATGCGCTTTATTTCCCGTTTTTCTCTTTAGGCTAAATTTGAATGGAAACTTGAGTAATGTCAACACAAGTGGAATTGTAACATCTCTGCTTACTTTCCTCTGACTTGAGTGATGTCGACCTCTCTACGGTATATCTCCTTGCATTGCAAACAATTAACTCTCCCGGGTCAAGGTTGTTTTAACAGGTGCTTTATTGGCGCACACGGCCTTGCGCGCTCACTTAAATCTAATAATCCAGACCAATTTATCCATAAAGCTGTCGTAGGAGAAGGGAAACAGCCATTTCCTCTCTCCATAGTCCAGCAACAGCCCAAACACCAAAGCCCCACACTTCTGTTCACCTTAGTTAGAGTGTGTGTGTGTGTGTGTGTGTGTGTGTGTGTGTGTGTGTGTGTGTGTGTGTGTGTGTGTGTGTGCGCGTGCGTGCGCATCCTCTGCAGCTTCCTGTTCTCTTATGGTCAAATGCCACTGGCTCAACAGTGTTTCTCTTGACAAACTAATACACACTCATGTAGCGTTTAGGGATCAGTCCGCAGTGGAAGCCACATCCTGTTCCCAGGAGGCTATTTGCTTTAAGCTTTGAGTACTACTTGTTACTTTGAAAAAAGAGTTCCACTGTTGCTCATAATGTCTAAGTCCGTTTTAACCTTTATTTAAAACTAGATGATGCTTCTTATTAAAACTCACCGTGACACTCTACAGCTCCTCTGGAGTAGTTTGAGAGCTAAATGAGGATGGGGTGTTATCATTAACTTTCCCTCCTCTGTCCAAATCCTAACGGGTGGAGGTTTGAGTTGGTGACCTTTTTAATGTAAGCAACTTCCCACATTCCTAAACTCATAAGAGTGCCCACAACCCTCCTCACTCCTGACAGGCCTGAATCCTTACATACTAATTGCTCTTATATTTCTCCAAACCACCTGTTCTTTGCCAGTTGTCTGAATATCTTCAAAGAGATCCCCGCCCCGTGACATTTGTGTCTACCTACATGTCGGGTCATTGCTGTGTAAAGCGAGGGGCGTGTGTTGTGTGTGTCATTAGCTTCTCTCCTTCCTAGAATAAAGGGGAAAAAATGCACCACTTTCTTTTATTCGGCGTGTACACAGACGCGCACACATCCAAACAGCGCGGCCAAATAGATTCTTGGCAAACACAAGCTGTGTTGACAGGAGAGATGAGCTGCTGTTCCTGTCGCAGCTTGCCGAAGGCACAGAGCCGGGCCCACGTTCAAAAAGAGCCGCCACTGTTGAAGCCACAAAGCCGGCGGACTTGTTGCTACTGCCTCTGCCAACACACACAAACACACGCACGCACAGTCGTGCATTGCTGTATCAAAGGGCGGCTGGGCTGATGCTTGACTATTTGAACAGGTGATTCCCATTTGCATCTGCTGACCGTATTGGCTTCATGCCTTTTAGGAAGAGTCAATCACACACTGCTAGTTGGTAGCACATTCAGTTAGTTTACCATTGGAAGTGATGCTGTACAGGGGACAGATTTGTTGGTTTGATTGTGACAATTACAGTAGCATGATGTAGATACCATACTTTTTAAGGGGAACTTTTTTTATGAGTTTGAGTCTCCTAATACTTGGTGGATGTTCTGGTAAGACTTAGCTGAACAAGTGCATTTCATCAGAGTTGCATAATTATATCGGGATGGCTCAGACGACCTGTCTGACAGGTTGCCCTCATGAATGATAATGATTCCTGTGTGACATAAGACCGGAGGTGTCGCAGAGCACCCTCAGGTCAAGGTGTGATTTGAACCATTTCCTTTCAAATGCCATATTACACCATGGATGTTTGATAGGGAGACAACATCAGCAGATACTTAATGTATAGGGAGTTACCATGCATTCTTTGGGGGGGGTGGGGTGGGTGGTTGGGGGTGGGTGGGTGGGG